GGAGGGCGGCAGGGGGCGGGGTAGAAGGGAGGCTACCGGGTGACTCCCTGCCCGCATGCGTCCGGGTGAATCACGAAGATGGTGAAGGCTTCCATGGGTCCTTCCCTGTCCGTCTCCTTCCCATCAGATGCGCATTTCCAGCTCTCGGCCATCTTCCACGGGCCAAATGAAAAGCACCAGAACGTTCCCCGACCTTTAGCCCCACACCCAGACTGCAGTCTCAGAAAGGAAGCGCCCTGGAGCGGTCCCACCGCCTGAAACCCAGGAGCTGGGCACCTGGACACCGAGAGGTTGGGCGAGCAGGAGGGCCTCACGTCTGGCCTGCGCTGAAGGCCGCTCCGGCATCCACGTGGGACCCTGGATGGCCTCGGCGACGGGCAGGCCTGAGAAGGGCCCCCGGCTGGTGAGGAGTCCCCTCAAGAGTCAGATACTCTGAGAGGCTGTCCGGCAGGCCCCACCCGAACCCCCAAAGCAAGGGTGTCGCTTGCTGAGGCTGGGGGGGACGGGGGCGGTGGAGCTGGGACCTGCTGGAGGTGGGCAGGGACACTGGACGAAGGGACTGGGATGGTACAACTTTCCCACATCTGATGAGTATTTACACGTCTGGGGTCGGGGCCCAGGGGTCCATGGTGGGTGGGGCCAGCGCCAAATTGGAAGGGGGGCGAAATACCCTCTGCACCTGCATCCTCCTCCCCCCTCAGAGAGCCTGGCTTCTGGCCCAGGGCCTGCCCAAAGGGAGAAAAGAGGCAACATGCGTGGCCGGCGCCCGCTGGCAGCCCAGCCTGGCGTGGAGGAGAGGAGGGCGGAGGGGGCTCAAGTGGCCAGGTTGTCGGCCGGGAGGCCGGACATGCGGATCTGGGAGCTGCTCTTGCTCAGGATGGAGAGCTGGGTGCCCCCATTCACCCCACTGCTGGCCAGGGATGGGTGCCGGTGCTTGAAGTCCACGGCGAAGTAGCGGTTCACCTTCCAGCTCCGCCACTTACGCTTGATCTCCGCCTGCACCTGCAGGGAGCAACAGGGCCGTCACCTCCCAGCAATATCCTCTCCGACCTCCTTTGTCCGCCGCCTCCTGCCCTGGGCCCGCC